TTTTTTATATACATTTATTATAAAAATACTCTTAATATATATCTTAAAAATACAAATTTTAAAAATTTATTTTTAATTTATTTTCAAACTTATAATCATTAAACTATTCCTGGAGTTTTAGATTTAGGGTTTGAAATGACTTGGTCAAAACTACGAACTCTTCAACCTAAATAAGATCAGAAGAGACAAGAGAAAAGAGAAAAGGAGATTAGAGCAATGCTAGGGGCACTCGCTTTTCGCACTCTCCGGCCGACACTTCCCCTTTCATTGGGCCACGTAAGCTTTTTTAAAGCTTTCAGCCCAACTTCTCGAGAACCAAGATAACGTGGCCCAATAAAGGAGAAAGTGTTGACCGGAAAGTGCGAAAAGCGAGTGCCCCTAGCATTGCTCAAGAGATTAAGTCTTACTCAAAAAATAGATTGATTTTGTCCTATTTGTAGAAAAAAAATAAAGGTTTGATGATCCCACAATTTTTTCACACCATGTGCATAAATAATAAATTATATGAGAATTTTATGGGTTACCAATGAAAAGTACATTTTTCATGACAAAAAATTATTGTAATACGTATTTTTAGATAATTAACTGGTATTACTTTTTTTAATTTTCGGAAATTTAATTGATTATGAGACTTCTGTATCATTCATTCATATATTTATTCATTTATTTAAATAACATGTACAAGGGCTATTGAAAAAAAATATATATCTACATTTTAAGTTTTTTTTTTTTATATTGATTGTACAACGAAAGATAAGTCTCTCTTATTCTTTATCGTATTCTATCCATATATCATATAATTTAAATTTAAAATATTTTATTTTTAACCAAATACACATTTGAAGACTAAAACATGAAATTTTTAAGGTTTTAAAACCTTTATCACAAAATGATAAAGTGCTATGCCAAAATTTAAATACTCTGTCCTAACTCTAATTTTGTCTGAGACAGGACAGACGTCCATGGTCAACGCGTTGATGCTTCGCCCACTAACTCGGAGGAACCCCATCGAAATCCATGGCAAATTACAGCTTATTCCATTTTCCATCGCTTTGATTATTTGGATCATAGTCTCAGTTTTCTTGACAACCACCATGATCCTCTGTCCATTCTGCTCCACATAGATAACAAAATTCAAACTTACACCTGCAACCACAAAATCCACAAAAATTTTTTTTTTCAGTTAAGAAAAAAGAGAAACTTCCTACTGACACACAAGAATAGAGCAATAATGTTCCATTACATCATTGCCAAAAGAAAAGCCTAAAATATATTGGATTTTAATTCATATCATACCACTATCAATTTTATTTTGATGCACATCCCACAAATACAATACAAAAGAAACTTAGAACTTGCACTGACCTGCAAATCATATGAGGGCAACCATCTGTTCTTTCCACATAGAACTGGCAGTGGGGACACCTACTCCATTTTTGCTCCTTTGCAAGTTCCCTCATCATGAGATCTTGTCTGCTTCTCTCATCCTCGCCCAGCTTCCCATATTCCTCGCATCCGATCCCCGGATGCCATGGAACCCCACACTTTGCACAGAACAATTTGTGGCAAATTTGGCACTCGGATTCCCTGATGTCTTCTCCTTCATCATCAACCACAAACATTTCTGAGCAAAAAGGGCAGTAAAGTCTCTGTAAGGGACGGATAACCTCCTTGCTCAGAGCATCTTCCCAAAGGTCGATTTCTTCTTTAGCAAGCAAACCCCTAAAATCATCGAGCACCAAGATGCATTTGCAGTTCACTTCCGGGCATGTAATTCTTGCTTTGCTGTCCTGGATACTTTTCACGACATACTGGCTAATGCAGTCGGAACAAAAGGAGTGAAAGCAGCTCCCCGTTATGAACATCTGATGATCTCCTCTACTTTCAAGGCAAATTCCACAGAAGGATTCTGTAGCAGTCTCTTGTATCATCCGGGTATCATCTGATGAACTTGGCAGGATGTCGTCGCTGATCCTCAGTTGAGAAGAGATTGCGTACGACAACAACAGGCCCTCTTGAAGCTGTAAGTCTTCATCAAATAGGGCATCTGGTTCCATCAAATTTTCTTCTCCACCATCACTAAACTGAGGATTATTGAAAAAATCCATGAACCCCAACTGATGTTAGAACTGAAAGTCGGTTATTGTTCACCAATCTGCTGTCTGCTTTGGGAGTAAGCTACCTTCTAAAACCCTTTTAATTCATTTTAGCTGCGCGTAATAGATACAGGCAGCTTCCAAGAAATTGTATATACGGGCAACTTCTAAGAAATTGTATATAAATTATAAGTAACAATTCTGCGATAACTTGATAAAAATGAAAAAAAGCCACAGAGAAACTACCACCCAGCTTCCCGTCTTCGAAGGGAATAACATACGCGCTTTCACTCCGTCCCTCTTCGGATCGGTCTTTTCATGCCAAAAGTACTCACCAACATGTCGGTATATTTACGAATTATCAAAGACTTGACTTTTGCAATTTTTGCCTTGTCTTTGATTTTTCTTTTTACTAGATTGTCTTTCATAAGTGGGGTTATTACTACATTTTCAATAGTTAATACCATATATTTTTAACATAATTATCTATTATATATTTATATTACTCATTTTCTCAAAAATTTTATTTTTTTTGTTTTTAATAAAATAAAAAATATAATAATTAATTAAAATAAAAAGATGTGATATCAATAATTGATGGTGTAACAATTACATCACCCGACTTTTTTTGTTTTGATAGTAAGGAATTTCAGAAAAAAGAAATTTAGGTATAAAACTCAAGTTTTAGGTGTTCGAACACTTATCTTATTGGGATGGTCAGTAAACACTACATGTTGAACATCACCCCCTTTAATTTGATATTGGTGATTAGTATTTAATTATGAGCTAGACATGTAAAAAATTATGGCAAAAAATCCTCCGAAATTATTACACAAAATGATCAAGAATGATCTTTCAATCAACGAAAGTGTCCCAACCCATAAATGCTATGCTACCCCGTTATGCATTTGCTTTATTTTGGTATTTAGTTTCCCTTTATGATTAGCTGCAGTGTACAGTGCTTATGTATATATCTCTGTTGGTATAACGAAATACATATCACATTATTCCACAGACACTAGTATGAAATACGTCATGGCGTCAGAGAGTGATTTTTCTGTTATTAACCTCTACCAAGTCTACACAAGTAGTCCGCCTTTCTTTAAATATTTCAAATTTACAATGACATTTTCTGGGGGCCAGTTTTTTTTTCTTCTTTTTTCTTCTTTTTAAGGTGAGGGACCCGTTAGGATAAAATCCCACCCACATGCAAGGAACTTTCATAATGGGCAAAACATGCAGATTACTTCTCTAAATTCTAGAAAATCACTATCCCATTGATTATTAACAAATTAACAATTAACTAAATTGAATAACATAGGTGGGCCATGCATGGAACAGTTGATAATGGAATGAGCATATTAGTTTTTATAGCCACACCTTTAATGGTCAATTACCCAAATTTGAATCCTATTAAAGGTATTGCAATAAAGAATTAAAAAATTATTGTTATATATCCTCTAGTTTAACATATCTATTAACATCTATTAATTCAATTATTAAAATTTGTAATTGAAAATTTTTTCATTTTGAATTCAAATTTGAAATTTATAATTCCTTAATAAATGTGTTAAAGAATGTATTAAATCAAATAATATACCAATCTAAAAAATTAAAGGTTAGCAAAAGTTTAAGAGAATAAGTACCCACTAAAAATATTGATTTGAGGTTAAAATTAGGAGTTGAAACCTTGTACAATATCTAGTAACTAACTCTCAATGTGTCAAAAAAAAAAAAAAAGTACTGTGATAAGTGTTTGGTTCCTCTAATCCAAATTAAAGTGTCCTCACTGTTTAGGTAGGCTTTGAACCAAAAAAGAGAGAGATAGTAAAGTCTGTATAGTTCAATATACCTCATACTTGTAATGGTATAATCAAGGACAAAAGTAGAGACATATTTGACAAACTTTTGAAATGTTTTTACCAAAAAAAACTTTTGAAATGTTGACAAACAAACCCAAATACAAAGTTGAACCATAGATCACAGCATTTTCTTCTTCTTGACAGTTTACTTGCTGGAAAATATGTATGCCCATGCCATTTGTTTTTGATGCATATAGTTCCCTACAAAGACAACAGAAAACAACGCCATACTAAATGAAGTAAAACATGTAGTACACTGGTCACTGCATATGTTACCCTCTTCTCATGCTTCCTCGATTCTCCTACTCTCCCTGGCAGCCACCATGGTCTTCTGTCCACTCTGCACCACATAAATAGCAGAACTGAAACCCACACCTGCAACCACAATAGAAGAAAGCAAGTTGCCATACTACTTAAGTACTTATGATGCCTCATTGCCCTTTTAGGCTAAATTTTATGTTACATGGACTTGGGATCAAGTATCTAACAGGGATACCATTGAAGGACCAATTTCCCTGACACTAAGACCCATTATATTAACCCCAATTGGCATCATATGAGCCCAAGTATCTGATATTGTTCTAGATTTTCCTTTATTTTAGAGAATGCAAGAGTCAAGTCCATATAGAAATCTAAGCTTTTTTTGGGGAACAAAAAAAAAAAAAAATTGAGACTTTGATGAGCTACTATAATTCTTAAAGAATAGATGATAATATCATAATTAATTAAAGAAAACTCACCTGCAAGTTATATGGGGGCAGCCTTCTGTTCTTTCCACGTAGTACTTGCAGCGAGGACACCTCCCCCATTTCTTCTCCTTAGCAAGTGACCTCAACGTCAAATCTTCCCTGCCTCTTTCATCCTCATTCAGCCTCTGGAACTCCTTACAATCCATACCCTGATGCCATGGAACTTTGCACTGTGCGCAGAACAACCTATGGCAGAATGGGCACTCCGATTCCATGATAACTTCTCCGCCGGTATCATTCAACAGCACAGCGGAGCAGTCCCTGAACGGACAGTAAAGCCTATCCTTTTCCTCAATAAGCTTCACGCATAAAGTCTTCTCCCAGAGATCAAGCACCCCCTTTGGGAGCACGGGCCGGCACGCGTCAAGCTCCAGCACAGCTCTGCAACTCACCGCCGGGCACTTGATGACGGTTACTCCCTCTTCCAGCCTCGTCTTAACATGCATGCTGATGCATTCCGTACAGAACGAGTGGGCGCAACCCCCAACGGTGAACATTTCATTGGGTTCTTTCCGTTCTAGGCAAATCTCGCAGAAGCTTTGGGAGGATTGGCCGGTTTCATGGGTGAAATCCTTCGGCCGTGGCTGCGGCTGAGGTACCGTTGAGGAGGAAATGGAATCTGGGTTTTTCATGTGAGTGGTGGACATTAGAGCCTCCTGCAATTGCAGCTCCTCGATGTACCTGTCGTCTTGGACGTGGGAAATCTCGTCATCTTCTTCTGGGTTTTGAGCGAAGAGTGCTAAGAGTGCGAAGTAGAAATCGTCGTCGTCGTTGGAATTAAGATCGGTGGATGATACTAGCGTCATCTTCTCCCTTCAATTTCTCTGTGTTGATAATTGGTAATGGTGGAGGCATGGGTTCATTGGCATGATATAGTGGAAATGGGCTTTGCCTTTTAAGTTGCTTCCCAGAGGTGGTCTCAATTTCGATCCCGATTACTTCAGGGTTTGTTATCTCCCCAAAAACCTTACCTTTTCTCCTCCGAAACCTTACCTTTTCTTGACGATGAAGCCTTCTGCTAAGCCCCCATTTTTCCCATAATAATGAAGAAGCCCCTAAACGAAACTTAAAGCATATAAGATCTAAACCTCCATGATGTATGCAAATCAGACTGTCACTGTTATAGTCCGTTAGTTTTACCTGAGCCAAGACCCCTCTTAAGACCCTAGATTTATCCTAAATTAACATGTAAGCTCCTAAATAAAAAATAGTGTAAATAAGCCCTCAAACCATTTGAATGATGCAAATCAGCTCGAATCATTAACAGTTCAACACATGTGACATCATGCCATTTGTTCTTTTTCTTTCCTTAGTCTTATATTTTCATGTGGATACTGACATGGATGAATGATCCCTTTGGTCAAGTAAAAAATTCCATCAAAATAGTGGAAATGATCCCTTTTTATTTAGTGTTATTGAGTCACGTGAATTATTTTAATGAGATTTTTATCATTTAAAGGGGTCTTTTGATCTATATTAGTATTTACATGAAAAAATAGGATCAAGTGAAGAAAAAGAATAGATGATAAATCATATGTATTGGGCCATTAATAATAAGGATTGATTTGTATCATTTGAAAAACTTGAAAGTTAATTTGTATAATTTTAAAGATTTAAGATTTTATTTACACTGTTTTCAATTTAAAGGTTCACGTGATAATTCAAAATAAGCCTAGCACTTAAGAGGGGCTTTGCCTTGACCTGATGATTGCTGTTATAAAGCATAAACAGCCGTTGAATGAAAGTATATAATGTGGAAACTAAAAAGAGAGAGAGAGAGAGAGAGAGAGAGAGACCATTAAATTAGTTATATTTTTTAAAAATAAAACTAATTCCTGAATGTTAATTATTTTACCCAATAAAATTGTAGATTTAGAATTAAGACTTGTTTTCACTGCACCTTATTTGAAAATATAAATTTATCATAAATAATTAAGTTTATTTAATGTTTTATAACATATTTTTATTATTTTAATTAATATATATTTTTATTTAAAAAAAAAAAAAAACAAACAAACAAACAGACAAACAAAATAACTTTACAACAATAGCAGAGGCCAGCACACTCCTGTGTAAACACTCCCAAACGAAGCCCTAACCCGTCCCTTGATGAGTAGCTGAGTCTTGGGGATGGAATCAGCATGGAACTTGATGGGAATGCTGCCGCCAGTCCCGAGGACCCCTCATGATTGTAGAATCAGCGGCAAGGCTCCGATATCAAAGGGATAAGATTATTGTTACCATAACTTTTGTTCATGTCATCAATTATAATTTTATTAATTTACCAAAAAAAAATTATAATTTTATTAATTTATAATTTTTTT